GAGAGAGAGAGAATATGATCAAACATGAGAAATTTAATAAGTTACTTGTCAGTGTTCTGGTATTTTGTAAGATTTGCTTGAAGGTTGGCAGCAGCTTTTTTGAAAATCATTTAAACAATCAGAAAGGAATGCTATACATAAGAACGTATATTAGTAATTCACTAATAATCTCTTACTGGTTGTAATGTTGTTTTGCTTCAGTGCTGATCCATGCTTTGACTCCAACTGATTATACATTTCTAATAATTTTTCATAATATCTGACTGGATTATACGGGATGATAGGAGTGGTTGCTATTGCCATTGCTACTTGGGCCCACACTTCTCCTATAGCAGCATTATAAGTAAAGTTTGGATCACCAAAATGTGTCATCCAGTAAAAATTATCATGAACAGAATGGTAGACAGGGTAATTATCATTAGCATAAGCCTATATAAAGAAATAAAAAGTTTAAGGATCAGGTAACATCACTCACATATAAAATACTAAAACTTGAGACACCAGTAAGTTGCAAGAAACATGTAAAATCACTACCAGAGCCAAGATTGCCTATTCTATGAGAATTTAACATTAATAGGATACAGGACATAGTAATAAACCTTGGTTCATCAGTTGTAGTTTGACTTTTCCATTTATCATAAAGTGTTGGATAATCATTACAAGGACACTTCACCTATAGATTATTGTTTCATAATAGTTCAGTCATAGTGAGTAGATCTATACTTGTTTAGTTGCATCATATATCACATCAAATAGGAGTGGACTAGAATCAGCAATAAACTGATCCATACCTGTTAAATGGAAGTTAGGACGTTGCTAACAATACCATTTTTAAGAATTAGATCTGGCAATAATGATATGTACATGTATATACATGTACCTGAAACAGCAGAATCAATATCAAGATAAGTAACAACATTAGCCCCAAGTACCTTCTCCATATCCTAAAATTATAATATTAAAATTCAATAGATCCTTTGAGTACAAATAATCCTTGTATTCGACAAACAAGTGATATATTTTATAAGGTAGCCTTAAATTTAAGGATCAAATAATTTTGGCACTTATTATCAAAGTGTCTG